TTCTTTAAAAATATATGGTTTTTTTTTTTTTTTTATTTGAAAAATGTTAATTTATTTATTACTTAATTTGTTTTATTTAATTTGCCATAAATATTTCTTTATCTTCATTTTTATGTGCAGCTGCATTTCAAAAAGTTTTCAACAATAGTGTAAAGAAAAATTGCACCCCGAAAACTTTGCTCCATCCAAACTCTTTGCTCAATTTCCCCCATTCGGTGGACAACTTATACTTTATGCTTTCTGCCTATATAATAAAGCACTTTAAGTGCCGCGGCACGACCATTTTTGGTTCCATAGATGACACTAAAAGCTGTTCCCCAGACCTTAACCCCCGAAAAACTGAACTCAACTCTCATAAAGAGTGCGTGCACGCACCGCATAAATAACCGAGCGCAAAACTTTGAGTTTTACTTTACGCATATGAGGCCAAGTTTATGACTGTGTCGTATAACTTAAACTACGCAGAATTCAATTAACTCGAAGCGCCAGCTTGGTCCTGATTGTGGTGGTCCTGAACTTGGTTCCTTGGTATTTTTTTGATTTTTTTCTTATTCCTGCAGCAGGACCAACTGTGTCTTGGCTGACATCTTAAGCTGCTTGTGTGTAAGTGTGTCTGGCTTAATGAGAGACGCATTTGCCTGTCAGATTGTGATGCTCCTTCTGCCTGCTTCTTTCTTATATATATTACATATATATATTTTATTTTATTTTCCTTGCCGCTTAAACAAAGGAGAAGACTAGCTTCGAGGACCTGAAGTTTACTACACACACACATGTTGCAGAAAAGTTTTTTGGCCGTGGGAGCAACAAACTTCAGTGACACATCCCTCGTCGTCTGGCAGACAGCCCCCCGAAAAGTATGCAGCACGCATTTTAAACGTTTTTAATTTACAGACTGCCATGTTGTACCTCTAAAGGTCCTGGAATCCCCAAGCTTAGCGGACAAGTCCTGGTCTCAAACTCCTTGTCAGTCTTCAGTCGTCATGGAATTCGTTGTCCTCTGAGTTTTTTTGCTTTCCCCCTTTTTTGTCATTTGTCGTCTGTTTTTTTGGGTATTTGCATTTTTTTCCGTCTACCTTATTTTTTTCGGGAATTTTGTTTTGTGTCGTAATGCCGTGTATTTTGTTGTTGGTTTGATTGATGGCATTTGGCGCCATGCAGGGAAAATTTTCTGCGTTTGTCATTTATAAATAGAAGAACAACAATGGCAGCAGTGAAAGCGAATATAATAAACATTCCGCAATAGATTCCGTGAGGGTTTCAAATATTTTTGTGAGTGAGTGTATATGACCCCCATGAACTCGAGTGATACGGCGAATTAATTCTGACTGGGTAATTTTTTTATGTATATTGGGAAATGGAAAGTACATCACGTTTTCGTATTAAAATAATTACCATATAATGTTAATTTGTTTTAATTTTATTCAACAGTATTTTGTGAAAAGATTTTAAACCACTTTGAAAAGCGCCAAAAAGTATACCACAAAAAATACTTTGCAGCTAACCATCAATTGTATTTAGCATGTCGCAATCGATCTTTAGTTGGCTACTAAACTAACTAAACTAAACTTAATGCCAACACACCTAAATCCCCTACAGCTTCAGTCCCTTTCCACCCCTTACAGCCATTACAACACCCCCTCCCCTCACCTAAGAATTGTCAACAAAGTAGCCATTTTGTATGCTCGACCATGCCGCAATGTGTGCGCCACAATAATTAATTACAGCATTCTCTCGATGGCGGCGACAGCAGCGTTGCCGTTTTGTCCTTGCTGCCGAATCCGCTTCTGCTTCTTCCTCCCACTTCCTCTGAGCCTCCTTGATTGCTGCTGCTGCCGTAATTGTTGTATCCTTGACATTTAGAAGAACACTAACGCTCGGTGCAAAAATGTTCGCCACGCTCCTCTGCCTTCAACCGGAAGTGAAAAATTCTTTAGCAGTTGAACCTAGCGAGTGGGCGAAGAATGAGAAAGGAGATAGTTGAAATGAAATAGGAGTTACACTGGAAAAAAATTTATCATTTCAAATAAATTACTTATATTAATTTTAAAAAAATTTTATCTACATATTATCTACAAATGATTTACATATTCTCTACTAACTATCTACACATTTAAATATAATGCTGAAAGTAATTATTATATATTCAGATTTTGTCACATAAAAAACGGAAATGGTTTCTATTTTTCTATTTTTTTTCTCTCAGTAGAATAGGAAATAAAGTTTCACTATTCAACACCAAAAAGAAAACTTTATGGGATGTCTTTGGTGGCTTTGAGATTCATTTGTTGACTGTTCTAAACCACTGAATTTTCCCCCCTCTCCATTTTCCTCTAGTTTTCCCAACCCACCATCCATCCCACACTTTTATGTTCCTTTTATATCCTGCGGAACATTTCTTGTGGCTGGCAATGCGAATTTGATTTTGCTCATTTGGCCAAACTAATTTGTGCATTTGTCTCTGTTCCTTGGGATCCCCCGTCTCTCTCTACTCGTAATCTGCCCGTCTCTTTCTCTTCACTTTGTTAATGCCCTGCAGCTGTTGCTGATTGGTTTTTATTTTATTATTTGACATATGTTTTGGGAATAGTTTTTTTCGTTCTTATTCTCTTTGCCTTTTGTCGTGTTGTTAGCTAATGATAACGACTGTTTAGGGAGTGAGATTGAGGGTGAGAGGAATTTGCCAACTTTTTTGTTTGATTTGCATGTTTTTGGCAGGGAAATTTTCATGGGTGGTGGGGAGGATGGTGGTGGAGATCCAGGGGGAGCCCTAATTAGATTAAAATGTGTGACAAATGTGCGACTCGTTTATGAGGGCAGCTGTTGGTGACTAAGCCGGATATGATGGATGCGTTTTAAATGGAAAATAGTACAGCTTAGGGAGTGAAATAGATACCATTGCAGAGCCAGAAAATTAGCAATTAATGTATTAAAATATTACATTTTAAATACGTAACGTTTGGAAATTAAATGTATTTGTGAAGACTTAAATTTATATTTTAATAACCACCTCATCAATCAATTTTTGTTTAATAAATCCTGAAAGTCATGTTTCTTACTACCTTCCTAACCCCTTCTAAAAGAAGGAGTTTAAAATTTTTCGACTTTTGCAAGTAATTTTAAGATTTTACAATCCATCAAATTTTGGGTCTAGAAAAATGTCCAAAATCTATAAAAGCAATTCATTGTTATTTAAAACAATGATTCTTAAAAGAATTTAAATAAAACCCGGGCACCTGTTAACCGCAAAACAGCTGCGCTTCCCAAGAGGCATTTTTGCAATTTCCCCAGAAAAATGCGGGGAAAAAGCGAAAACTTTTTTACGGAATGTTAATTACGAGGAAGCTCTGACGCAAATGCCGCCCACGACACGCAAAAAAAGCCAAACAAAGAACGCAGAAAGAAAGCAGGAGAAAGTGAAAGGCCCCCAACGACTAACGCCCTCTGGCGGCCAAGTGTCGAACGTTTATTAATTGACTGTCAGCTTCATATCCGTTCAAAAACAGGGAAAACGACAAAAAAAAGAAGGAGAATTGATATCCCGATGACAGTTGGCATTGTCTGTGTGCCACTCATTTCGTTGCTTAACCAAGTTCTCCGGGTTTTTCTTTCGGATTCATTGGTTTTGTGAGGAGGGGGGTTGGTTGGTCTCCCTATATTCCCCAAAAACCACCCCTTCTTTCATGGTCGCATGCAGAGGCAAAGTCCTTTTCAATGACATTGTCATTGCCATCCATTCGATTTCGACTCGTCTCGTTTCGTCTCGTCCTTGTTGCTCAACAGGTTGTGTCCAGTCCCGTTCAGTTTCAGAGTTTCCTACCCTATATAGTATATATACCTACCTACCCTACCTACCCTACTTCAATGCCACCCACTCCCAAGAGAACTTTTTGCTTCTGCCACACAGCCGGCTTTCAATCATGGCGGTCGGTCGGTCGCTTGGTCGTTTGGTCTCGGACACTTTTTGCCAACTTGGCTCTCAGTCAGCATCCGACATCGTTTCGAGCTGAATGTGCGTGCGCTAAAAACCAGGCAACAAAAACCATAAAACCATATTCACCACGTTCTATCGCGAGTATCTGTGTGTCGGCGTCTGTGTGTTTGTGTGCGGGTGTGTGCAACAGCTGTTTGTGGAAAATCGGCCAAATAACAAATAAACTTGTCATTAGACAGGCTGCTAAAAAAAAATAAGAAAAATATAAAAATAAAAACCAAGTGCAAAGTGGAAAATTTCGATTTCAGTTGACACTTGATTAAAAAAGTTGTGTAGTTCGTTTCGCCGAATTTTCGTTTTTTTCGAATATATTTTCCTGGTAAGTTTTGCAAACGGGGCAACATATGGCCCAAAATGCCACGCCTACTTGTTTGGTTTTTATTTTTTTTTAGCTGCCAGACGACGGTCTTTGAATAGCCTCGCCCACCCTTCCATTGTCAATATTGATTTTTGTGTGATTGTTATTTATTTTTCATCTTGCACAGACACCAACCTCCTTCGAAGGACTTTTCCTTGGCTTGTCTCCTGCCCAGTTTTTTCCTCCTTTCTTCTCCAAGTAAATCTTTGATGTAATTTAAAGCTTCTCGAGCTGCTTTCTTCTGCCATATGTTGGCCATATATGTAGGAGTGTTTGCGTGGGATGTAAGCTCGAATGTGCCCGGTTCACAGGACTTTTTTGTGCCAGCTGTTTTCACACAGGTGAAGGGTACAAATTGTTTGCAGACCCCCCAGACAAGCAAGAGTGGGTTAACAGAGAGAGAGGAGGGAGTAAGGGGTTAAGGGGTGCAAGCCGGTCAGACTCAATTGAGAGATTAAATTGATTTACCTTGTTTGGATAATATTTATTTTCACTATGGTGATTGAAAGTGATTTATATTTATTCTATTTACATTCAGCAGCAGTGCTTGTTGGCTTTCGGAATTATCGAAAAAGTCAAGTTTTGTTGAAGTTTATATTTTTTCTTTACCAGCTTTAATAATATTTCTCCTTTTTCTTCTCGTTTTAGGTAAGTTTTCTAAACCAACCTGTGGACTATTATTGGGTAAGATTTTATTAGAAGTAAAACGAATATATTAAAATAAAGAGATGGCAAATATTAGTTTACAAATATATCGAAACTATCGATATTATAATCGTTTTAATTATTTTTAATGTTTTAAAATTATTAATTTATAAATGTATGCAAGTGATATTAACAATAAAATTAAAAATTTTAATATTTAAAATTGCCTTTACTTGACGTAAAAATTACTACAAAAATCGATAATACTATCGATGATTTGCCAGCTCTTATAGAATCCTAACACTAGCCAATTCCCCAACTCAATAAACGTTGCCAAGGGTTATAGCCTTTTTATTTACCTTCCTTTCATTATATTTGTTCATGCCTTTTTTAATACAACCCTTAACTTTGAAACCGCAAAAGTTAAAGGTCATGAAAAACTCACAAAAAATCATTAAAAATTATACAAAAAGAAAATCATACAAATATTATTTGCAGTTCCTTTTCGTTGAATCCTTCTTCTTGCCCCGAAAAATGCAAATAAACGTAAAATATTTCCAATCAAGGAAAAGGGAATCAAAAATGAAAGCCGCAGCAAACAAAGTTCAAATTGTGGCAACAGTTGTGGCCAATACAATAACAATAAAAATAAAAATTGGGCAAAAAAAAATAAGAAAATCCAGAGAAAATCAAGAGCTAACCCTAGTCAGCGAAAAACCAACGCCCAAGGGGTCGGAGAAAAACTCACCCACCTCTAAGATTGCCTGGAGAAACTTTGTGTTGGTTGGGAGGCAAGAAAAATCGAACAACAAAACTCAGGGAATTACTTTGAAAATAGTTGGCAAAAACAACAACAACAGCAAATAATGAGCATTGAGCGATAAAACTCGATGCATGAGAAAAGTGGGGGTAGGGGCAAAAAGTGGGCGTGGCTGGGAAATGCAAAAATGGCGAAAGGCAAACTCCTCGACTTGGTGGATAAATCGGAGATTGAAGTGGTTAAAGTACCATGCGCTATTAAATAGAAGAACAATAGAGCGGGGAAAAAGAGGCAAAGAACTAAGGGTGATCTTGAAGAAAGTTTTGGGGGGGGTTAAATTGGCAGCGTAAAAAAGGTTGGGGGCTATGCCAATTTTGGTGGCAATGGCGACAGCTGAAATCTAAAGACAAAAACCCGACAAGTTGTAACCGCAAAATTGCCTTTGAACTCTTATATTCTTATCCTTGGAATCCTTTAAGGACAAGGGGAAACATTTTAAAGGAAACTTAACGCTGGTTCTTGACTTAGTTAATTAATATTCAAATAAATAAGAATACTATGCGTGACTATAATACTATAAAAAAAGAGAAAAAATAGAAAAAAGCTTTAAATTAAAAAATTTTTTTTAAAAATATGTCTCTTGGTGGTAATTTTATTGTTATAAATTTCCTCATACAAATTGAACAACTTCTCGACAAAAAAACCGCATTACTCTATTATTAAAAAATAAATACAAAGATAATTATAATATTTTTAGTACGAAATCGTATTTATCCCATTAAATAAAGTATAAATTCTGAGAGAGAAACCCACTTTATAGTTGCAAAGCCATTTTCATTGGCATTGTACAATTTGCAGACCGATTAGCCGCAGGACTCATTTTGCAGTAGTGGCAAACATGAAATTAATTATCACCATAAAATTATGCACAGCATTATGGCCACGCCCACTGGTAGTTACCCTGCCCCCTCTTAACCCACACCCCTGCCTGTGTCATAACATCACCGCAAAGCGCACCAACCGAGAATAGTTGAGGGAAAATAATTCGAGAAAAGTTTCCCTTGGAGTGCGTAATAAATGTTTACGCAAATTGGGCAACAGGCGTCGACGAGTAGAAGTGTGAGGGGGGTAACTTTTGCCAAGTGTGTGTTTGTGTCCCGGGGATACTGGCTCCTGGAAATACGAGGGTCTACAGTTCCTGCCCCAAAGTGTGGCAACATCACTTAAGCTCCTCTTTTTCGAACAGTTAACTAGACAAAATAATAGTTGATAATAATAGTTGCAAGGAGTTTGTGCCGGCAAAAGTGCAATGGTGAGAAAAACAGAAAAGAGTGGGCGGTGGAAAAACTTTTTCCAAATGCACCCGAAGAACCCTTGAAATGTCAAGGGAAAACTGCGATGGAAACACTTCAATTTCAAAGGGGGAGGAATGGGGACTGTGCGTGAAGTTACCGGGAGAATGATAATAATTTATGTGGAAGTGAGAAAAAATGAACAGAAAAGTTAAGGAAACTCAGGAGGAGCTCTCTATTCTTCACTAATTTGCCAAATTACACCATTCATTTAAGCAATTTCGGAAAATTTTAAGTGTTACATTTGCGGAAAGTACTCTTTGCTCTTTACTAAATTGGATATATGAACAATATTTTACTGGAATTTCGGAAGTTCTGAAGTAGAACACTTATCTAGGATTTTTATTAATATGAAATATAGTTGTTTTTCAGGAAAATACAATTATTAGATTTTTGTATATTCCTATAAATATTATAATTGCTTCTATAAAGCATTAAAAAGTCTTAAGAAAACTTACAAGTTTAAAATCCTTTTAAACTTCCTTGTCTAAGGAAGTTATCCCCCTAACTTATTTAGCTCCTTTTTCCGCCACTTTTTTTTTATTTTTTGGCATCTAATCAACTTGTCAAACAGGAGGGTTTCTTTCAAATTTTCTGCCATCTACGTCCTCTTCTTCAAAATTTTCCATCTATCGCTTCATTTCACGGCTTCATTAACTTTGGCTCTAATAATTCACACGTATGCCCGGAAAAATCCCCCTTCCCCATTCGCTGCTCATTAAAACGCAGCCAAATGTGAATTTTCATTTTTTTTTTGGCTGTTCTTTTTAATAGTTTTTTGGGTAAAGTTGCCTGTTTTAATGTTATATCTATTTTAATTGCAAAATGCTCCCCAAACTTCGCGGTAATGGAGTCTTTCCTTTCCTCTAACTTGGTCTCTCCTCCTCGAAATCCACGGAGTTTGCTTGGTTTTCGTGTGGAATGGTCTCTGTTCCGACTCCTTGCCATAATTAAACTGCCATTTGGCACGTACGCGGACTTAATGATATTTACAGCAAAAACTCTGGAACACACCAGCTACATGAGGCAGGAAAAAACACGAAAAAAAATGCTGGTAGCCAGGAGCAAGGACATGGCGAAAAAAGCTGCTGACACGTCGCGAAGTCCTGTCCCTCCAGTCTGTCACTTCTGGACTCCTGTGCAGCTCCTCCTCCATCTGCTGTTCCTCATGTCCTTTTACCGCCCATTTTTGGGTGGTTCTTCGTTTCTGTCTGACATTAGCTTTGTTGCCAAAACATTTTTTCGGTACCCCCTATAAGAACCCCATTGGGGGTGGCACTTCTATTAAACCAAAAAAATACTTCGAAATAAAAATTAAATTATAAATGTTTAAAATATTTTTGATAAAAGGAACATTACAAAAACCAAGCAATTTCAAAACCATATTTGTATATTGTAATAAATATAATAGGTTTTCATACCAGATACATAAACGTTTCTGTAAATGTCTAGTTTACAGGGTATAAAATATCTTTTCCTGGAAAAATATTTCCTAGATATCTACAAAAGGCGGAGTCGAAAGTCTTGTCACCTCGTCTTTCGCTTTCTTACTATTTTTGTACCATCCCTTCTTGTCCGTGTAACTTCTCATAATTTTGCCACGCCATATAAGTTTATTCTTTTTTTCGGAGTTTGAGTTTTTTTCTAAGAATATAATTTGCCTAGTCTGCGGAGTTTCCTCTTATTTCCGCTGCTGCTTGTTCTTCTTCAGCTTCTATCGCTCTTTTCCTTTTCCTTCCTGGTATGAAAACCTAACGGAAAAATTAAGAAATTCCTGTAGGATAATTGCTTGGCATACGTGCTGGAATGTGCGCCCTTCTTCTATCTCTTTCTTTCCTTAGTATCCCCAAAGTTCCTACTCCTAGTCCTTTTTTTTATTTTTTTACTTTAATTCGTTGCAAATATTTTTGCACATAATATTCAAGTTGCGTGCTTTGGATAAACTTTTTTCATGCTTTTTATTCTTATTCGGTTCTTCATACAAACTTGCTACTTCTCTGGCTCATTCTTCATTTTTTGCCCTGTTCTTCCCTCTTCTTCTATTAATTTTTTGGGAATTTTTTTTTGGAAAACTCCTTAACTTAAAGTTCAAGTTGAAGTTTTTGGAAGTTCTTCAAGTTGTGCGCCAGGTGTAAAAACAGCCTAAGGAAAAAACGGTGAGAAGAGACGAGAGAGGTTTAAGGAACTTTAGATGCCGCATGGTTGCATTTTCACTCACATACATGTGAGGCAACCCCAGACAGAGTTGCCAACTTTTTCGGTGGTTCCTCCACCCATGTGTCCTGCGGGTTTTTCGAGAGGGGGTTGTTAAAGTGGAAGAATTGGAAGGGGGAAGAAAACAGGAGTGCCGTGAAAGAGCTTACTGCGGTTTGCTCTCTCAACTAAACACGATTTTTGAATTAATGCATAAAATGCAAGTTCTTCCTGCGCTTCCTCTGCTTCCTCTTCAATTTCTACCATTTCTTCCGCTTTATTCTGCTGCTCCTTCTTCCTGGCCGCAGGACATCCTTTTTGTTGTGCTTGTAACATTTCGCAGTGTTTTAGGCCAAATTGAAGTTGAATGTCTGGGACTTTATTGTGGTAAGTGGTTGAGGATGTGTGAAAAAGGCGGGTTTCCTACAAAAGCAGAAAAGGTATCCCATAAATTACAAAGTTACGCCGGTAATTCTTTTATTCGAATTGAAAATAAAATAACTTTAGAGACCTTTTGTCTTGAATCTTCAGAAGGATATGTTTTAATGGATAACAATACCGTCTCATATCAATTATTCTCAACTTCAATTGCAATTTCATCAGACAGTTTCCACCGCCGACGACATTTTTCATTTAGGTGTGAAAATTTCATATTCTCAAGACGTTGTGTCTGCTCTTGATGCTCTTTAACCCCCTCAGAATTTCTGCCATATTTTTCATTCCACTTCAATTAT